CGATGGGCTGAATTGCACAAAACGCATGACCGCACCGGCTAGCCTGGTGCGCGTTGCCATTTATTTCCTACTTGATTTGAAGCAGCCTCTGTTGTGAAGGGAAAATCGTTATTTCGTAATGACAACTAAAAAAGAATTCTTTTTTTAAAGTTACTAACGTCTTTAGGCTCCGAAACTATCCACAGTTTAGCATTGCTGGACGAAAGCCTACTTTTGCCCCTGTGTAGAAGCAGAATCGTATCTGAAAGTTACCATATTGCGGAGAAAAACCCAACAGTTTTGTTTTTGGTCTCTTTAATTTTGCGAAATTCTGTATCAACATTTTTAAGAGATTCTTGGTGGTGAGATTCCCTTCATTTTGTATTTTTCAAGCGAAATTTTTCAGATGTATATGAATTCTCTTGAAAAAGCGGGATTTGGAGCATCACAACAAGCGAGCAGCGGAGAGGTTTGTATTTTTTTTTTTTTTTAGGAAATAATTTCGCATTTCGAAGGTGCTGTGGAAAAAAGTGGTTTGTAGTTAAGGATTTTTATTAAGAGAAATTCAGGAATTTTTTTTTTTTGAGATTTTGGGATTAAAGAATTTAATTTGATTTAAAAATAAAATATTTAAGAAAAATTAAAGGATTATTCAAAAAAAAGGGGAAAATACTGTGCTGTGCACTAGATTTTTTTTTTTTGGCATTTTTTCTTGCAAGTTTTAAACAAGTTTGAGGGGAAATTTAGCATAAAAACAGTTTTTTTAATCACAATTTAGATCACTTTTTATTCAGTTCATATTAATTTTCCAATGCTTTGTCTGCAGGGTGGACGAGTGACGACAGATGCTGGAAGTGCGACAGATTCAGATGAAAAGAAAGAAGCGCTGTATGTTTCAGTAAATTGCTTTGACTTTTTAGTTTTTTAATTATCGAAAAATCGAGGCATCGATGGCCTTACAACCGCCGGTAATTGATATTACCAAATTGCTGGTGTAACGAGGAGGGCAGTATGGAACCGTAGGGGCACGCACACCAAATTAATAAGCGATTCTTTATTAGTTGAGATTCCCGGATTAAAAAAAAATTAACAAAAAAAGCCGTGGAAAAAACCCGGCAACAGCTCCAAGCTGCTACCGGACAACAGGGAACAGAGGAGCGGGAGCGGCAACAGCTCCAAGCTGCCGTTGCACAATTTCAGAGCCACAAGAACAGTTTCTAATCGCCACATTAAATATCACGGAGAGGGAACTCGAGTCAAGAGACGGGATATTTGCATATCACAAGGAATCGAAGGGCGCCAGGGCAAGGCAGAGGGGGTTTAGCCACCGTCTTCGTTACCGTGCTGCTAGCACCTTTTTCCTTTTGCAACAGTAGTGTTCTTGAGGGATATCCGAGTGACCCCTCCACTCACATGAGGTGAAGTATGAAGTGGGCCTTAGTTTTCGTTTCACATGATATTTCGAAATTTCATTCTCTTAAAAATTATTCTTTACAGTATCAGCTTAATGCGAGGCCTTTGGCCATTTCGATCAACGAATTTCCATGTGTTGAGGGATGGTGACGATATCAATACCTCAGCATCTGGACAGGCACAACCTGCAGTTTCTGCTGTAAAATTTTTTCTTTTCACTCATTTTTAGAGGAAAATCACTTGTATTTCAAAATTAGGCACATTTCTCTACTGTTAATTCATACTTTGGAAGTAGCGCACAAAATTACGTTATGTGAGATAGCGATTTAGCTGATAAAATTGAAGATCATGTTTTGAGTAGAATTCAAAATATCGTTTTGAAGAGGGTTTTAGCCTCGAAGCCCTTCCTTGATTTTCAGGAATGAGACAGGAAATTGTCGATTTTCTTGATAAAACTCGAAATTTAAAATAAAAATTTGTTTTTGATAAGAAATAGTGATACTCAGAATACTGTTATTTAAACCGGATATTGATAAAATTGCTACTGAACGCACTAGATGTTTTTTTATCGTGATTTTTTTTGCTTCAGTGATAATTGTTATCTTTAATCTTGAGAAAGTTCCGAGTCTTATTGGCGATACTGCTATGTTCAAAAGTCTGTGTTACGGTCATAATTTGAAGGACTGTTGAGAATCTTTAATCTTTAAATATTAAAGGATAAAAAGAAATCCTTAATCATTAATCCTTAATCCTTAGATATTAAAGGATAAAAAGAAAATGATGAAGTAGAAAAAATGAAGAAGGGGAGAAAAACGAAGTAAAAAAAGGGAAATATGTTTTCCTTAAATATGTTTTCAGCCACAGGCACTGGCGCAAAATCCCTTCCAATTACTTTCGGCAGCCAGTTTACGACGTTACAAAAAGTTTTTCAATCTGCCGCATCGTTCGAGCACCAATACAAAGCAACAGGTTTCTAATTTTTTCTTATTTTTATCGAAAATTCACTTATTTTTTTCCCATTGGTATGTAGTTATGACCGGCCTTAACAACTTTTTTTGCATGCATTTTGTTAAAAACTGTCGAAATTAGGCATTTACTGCTTGTTTTCCTTAAATTATTTATCCCCATACGTCAGATATTTGAGTAGCATACTATATAAATAGCTGTAATTTATGGTAATAAATAACTGATTAAAAAAGTTTTAGTAAATTTAGTAAATTAGAAAATATTTTCAGCGATAGTTATTAAGATATCAAATTTAAAGAGTACTGTAGTGTTTTTGTGCGAAGATAAAAGAAAAGGCTGTGGTAAGGCTTTCATGGAGCATGCCAATAAAGTGCTTCCTGGTACTTCATTCGAAATTTAATAATACTTAAATAGAGAAGGAACTATCGTTACTTTCTGAAGAAAAATGTTTGTGAAAAATCTGATGAGCTAAAAAACAAAGAATTTTTCAAGGTGGCCTCAAAATATAGTAGTTTTTTTTTTTTTTTTTATTTGTTGGATTTGGCAACGTACTGTTTAAAAATGATAACTTCAGAGCAACGCGCTTTGTTTTGTTTCAGCTCCTGGAAGGCGTTTCGGAGCATTTCCACAATCTGGAAGTGCCAGCCTACGAAACAATTGCCAGTTTCTTGTACACTGCCAAATTTAATAAAAACAAAATCGATTATCCAACTGCCGAGTAAAGTTGAGTGGAAGAACCGAAATTCTCGGCGCAGCCTACTTGTTTCTCCTTTTTTTTCATTTATATTTTCTGTTGTAAAAATTTTGTAACGTTCGGGCGGAGGAGGAGCTGGAACTGGGGGGCTCTGCCTGGCAGCGGGAGTGCAACACCAGGCGAAACTTATTTATTAGAGCAGTATTAAAGAAATCCAAAACAAGAAACAAACCTCAAAAATTGCCCGGCAGCAGCTTCAAGCTGCCACCGGCCACACAAACAATAATTACAAGCGGCAGCAGCTCCAAGCTACGGCCGCTCGCTCCCAAATTAGGCGGAACAAAAAATTACACTCCCCATTTCATTTTCAATTATCACATTAAATATCACGGAGGGGAAACTCGAGCCAAGAGGCGGGGCATTTACATATTGGAAACCGAAGGGCACAAGGCGAAGGGGGATTGAGGCTCTAACTTCGCTTCCTTTTTATTTGCTCCTTCTTCCTTTTGTAACACGCCACCGCTCGCTTGAGCTCGGTCCCCGAGCTCCCAATCTTCCTCTTTCTTCCTTTTTCCTCCTCTTTTCTTCCTTTTGCTCGAACTCTGGTATCCTCCATCGTGTGCTTTTATACGTCCGGCGCCTTCTATTCGTTCCCAGTATGAACTTCAAGCACTTCCGGCGGGACTTTTCGCAAATCATCGAGCTGCACTTTAAAAGCTTGCACGCTCTTCTTGCGACGTGCGACTTTCCTTTTTTTACTTGTTGTCAAACGGTGGACCGTCGCCATTGGAGAGAATCTCGCCACGTGTTGCCTTTACAGACAAAACAGATCACCTCCCCACTAGTTTATTTTCCGGGTCTATTTTCCGGGTCGCGCACTGGCCCCCAATGGCAGATCATCGGAGGAACTGTATCGCTTACACGTTCCGCTTGATTCTTGGCACGAATTAGCGCCTTTTATTCCTGCATCCTCGTTACCTACTGAGCGGTCGGTTTTGCTCTCGGCCGCATTTATCATTTTTGTCATCGCGTCCCACTCCGAGCGGTTGCATCCAACACCGCTCGCGCCGCTCATTCCTATCCGCTGAGTCGACGTTACGCGGTCGACTCTATCTTTTTTTGCTTCTTTAATTATTCCTTTACCGGTCATATTCGTGCGGTCGCATGCGCTGCGACCGGCCGTTATTCGCGATTCATTTGTGGCACTCGCTCGCACACTTTCATTTTTTTTGTGTCTTTAGTGCCTCCTTTTCTTTCCTTAGCTTTGCTATCTGAGCTCGCAGCTCGCGCTTGCGCAGCCGACTCATCACAACTCTCAGCGACTCATAACCTCTCGCTTTTAGTTCCTTCCTTATTTTAGCTGCTTCATTGAGCACTTCCCATAGCTGCACAGGCGAGGAGATTTCAAACTCTCTCGCTACTTCTTCCCAGCTTTTCGCCTCACGGCCTTCATCCCCAACATCTAATTTGCCGTCCAGGACTTTTCGCAGGATACCTCTTAGTTCGTCCTGCTTTCGGTCCCATTCCTCAAGGCCCTCCTCCCACCGTTCGAAACACATCTCTATTTTGGACGTGAGCCCTCGCGTCACCCTGCCTTGCGCGACCAGACGCGTCTTCACCTCTCTGATCCTTGCCTCAAGGTACTCTAAGCTACCTCTCTCGGCCCATTCCACTGCTTCGGCCAGCTTATCCCAAGAAATTGCCGAACCACATCTCACGTCCGGGAGGTGTTGCGCATCCCCCCGCTTCAATTCGTCCTCCTCAGGGGTTCGGGAAACAAATTCCCCTTCTTCACTGTGCCCGCTGCAATCCAGCATAGCTGTTTCAAACGTTACCAACGATGTTTGGCTGCGCTTGGCCCTTAACGCGTTGTAACTATCCTGAGGGGTGCACTTTTCACACCTCCTTTACACTTTTAGCTTCAGAGCATTATGTGCTTTAGCACTTACTCGATCTTCAGCCTACGCGCGACTAGGAGTCTTAATTGATTCTCAGTTGCTCCTCTACGCGCTTATAATCCGGTATCTCTCGACTATGTCGGATCGGCTCAGCCCCCATATAACGTTCAGGCGGAGGAGGAGCTGGAGCTGGGGGGCCGTGCCTGGCAGCGGGAGTGCGAAATTTATTTATTAGAACAATATTAAAGAAATCCAAAACAAGAAACAAACCCCAAAAATTGCTCGGCAGCAGCTCCAAGCTGCCGAGCAGTTTTTGGGGATTTTCTGTGATAAAAATTATCATTTTGTTTTTTTTTTTTGAAATGAAGCATACAAGCATTTTGAGCATAGATTATACTAGTTTTACTTTCGTGGATTTCGTTGTACAGAGAAAAGGCATCGCCAAAAGCCTTGAAGAGCACTCGCTGTCAAGAAATTATTCGATACGCTCAAGCTTACTTGCTTTTTTTAGCTGATTTTCAGTTGAAACAACCAGTTATTGCTGTGTGATACTACTGTTGATCAGGATATGTTTTTATGATGTGCATTTATAAAATCTCAATATTTTACCTCTGGAGCACCTTTTGATTTGACTCGCTTTCTTTTGTGTAGCAATTCTGTAATACAAATATTAATGAGCAAATAGCGTGAATGTGTTGATTTTCTCAAATTATGCATAAAAAGTGAACAAAAATTTGCAGGGTTTCTGATTTCACATTGTATACAAAATAGGCCTAGTAGCCTATTACTCATTGAGGTTATCTCTTAGCACCACTATGACACCTGAGGTAGATGCTGCTTTTGTTATGCGCCCCTTAAAAAAGTGCTCAGAATATCACATTGTATATTTATTACATTTCTTTTCAAGTTGTGTCATTTTTCTCAGTGTAATTTCTCCTGTCTTCCGGTTTTTGTTTGCCTTCTACATATTAGATTATCGCTTTCTTTTTTGATTACCCGAACACGTTATTTAGAGACTTGACAAATATCATACTGAAAGTAATTTTTGAGACTAAGACTGTCGTACTGACAAGATCAAGTGGTCGAGGATGTATACGACTTCGTGGACCGAAACATTCCTGTTCAGCAGTTTAATTACAGTTTATTGCTACTTTCTTGTATTTTAGTGAAATATTTCTTTAAATTACGATCCTTCGAGTATCGATTA